AAGTCTATAGAATAGTCTATATACTATCTATAGTCTGGACTATAAAACAGTTTATAATCTGGAATATCGAACAGTCTATAGTCTGGACTATCGAACAGTCTATAGTTTGGAATATCGAACAGTCTATAGTTTGGAATATCGAACAGTCTATAGTCAGGACTATCGAGAAGTCTGGACTATAGAACTGTCTATAATATGGACTATCGAACAGTTTATAGTCTGGATTATCGAACATTCTATAGTCTGGACTATCGAACAGTCTCTAGTCTGGACTATAGAACAGTTAACAATATGTACTATCGAACAGTCTATTGTCTGGACTATCGAACAGTCTATAGTCTGGACTATAGAAAAATCTATAATCTGAACTATCGAACAATCTATAGTTTGGACTATCGAACAGTTTATAGTCTGGACTATCGAACAGTCTATAGTCTGTATTATCGAACATTCTATAGTCAGGACTATCGAACAGTTAACAATATGTACTATCGAACAGTCTATAGTATGGACTATCGAACAGTCTATAGTCTTGACTATAGAAAAATCTATAATCTGAACTATCGAACAGTCTATAGTTTGGACTATCGAACAGTCTATAGTATGGACTATCGAACATTCTATAGTCTGGACTATCGAACAGTCTATAGTCTGGACTATCGTACAGTCTATAGTTTGGACTATAGACTATAAGACTATAGTTTGGACCAAATAGATAGATAGATAGATAGATAGATAGATAGATAGATAGATAGATAGATAGATAGATAGATAGAGAGATAGATAGATAGATAGATAGATAGATAGATAGATAGATAGATAGATAGATAGATAGATAGATAGATAGATAGATAGATAGATAGATAGATAGATAGATAGATAGATAGATAGATAGATAGATAGATAGATAGATAGATAGATAGATAGATAGATAGATAGATAGATAGATAGATAGATAGATAGATGATAAGATGAATCTTAGTTTATTTCTGTCATTACTAAACTACTTCTATGTAATATGTAATAACAAAACCTTTTATAACTTTATGATGTTTTTCTAAAAGTTACTACAAAACTTTGTTTTAATTTTTTGTATTTAAATACAGCCTAAAACTATTTTCCCTCCTTTTCCTCTGCAGCACAATTATGTACTATTTTTAAAAATAAACATTCCCTAAATTGTATATATCCGTTCCAAGTTTTTTTACAATAATTTGACAGCAACTGTTTTGGTTGTTGTTGTTTCTTTTTGTATACCAAACGATCGTAGTTTAAATAAATTTGTTTGGTCTTCATTTTCATTAAATATGACAGTAATTGATATTTGTAACATCTCTCTTGTCTGTCATGATAAATGATTTAAGCAACACAATAAAAAAAAACATTTCAATTATGTTTTATACTAGTTTAAAGATAATGATAAATGATTCGGAACAAGAAGAGAACAACTAATCCACATCTTTTTAACATTTTATAATGTGTTCTACTATTATACACATTAACTAGTTTGTTTTTCTTTCTCTCAATTGAAAATTACATTACATTAAATTCAATTTTAAGTTTTTTGCAACATCTTTTTGTAATTAGTAGGATTGTGAAAAAGCTAAAACAATGTGAAATTATTATTATTAGTAGTAGTTTACAAATTTTTTGCTCTCTTATAATTTCGTTATATTTTTCTTTTGTTTTGTAAATTGTTAAATTTTTCCAATGATTTCCTACTATTAACTATAGTACACTTAGTTTTGTGTTTTTTGAACAAAACGCAAAATTTATTATGATGTGTACATGTTAATGCATGGCTGATCTAAACACAAATACTTTTTGAAATTGGGTAAAATTTTTAAAATTTATTTTTCAACTGATCTGTGCTGTATGGGGTTTGAACATTAACTGAAACAATATATATATTTTTTTTAATATTGCTGCAATTTTCGTATTTTCTTCAGCGTTTTTAATTAGCGGTACATTTTGCAATTTTAATAATTTTTATTGGTTAACTGTTGTTGCAATTAATGAAGAGAAACAAAAAAGTTGTTTGCAGAGCAACTTTTTATATAGAAAAGTGGTCTGTTTACACTGCAATTTTTTCTATAGAAAAGTTGTCTGTTCACATAACAACAGACTGTTCTATAGTCCAGACTACAGACTGTTCGATAGTCCAGACTATAAACTGTTCGATAGTCCAGACTATAGACTGTTCGATAGTCCAGACTATAGACTGTTTGATAGTCCAGGCTATAGACTGTTCAATAGTCCAGATTATAGAATGTTCTATAGTCCAGATTATAGACTGCTCGATAGTCCATACTATAGACTGTTCTTTAGTCCAGACTATAGACTGTTGTATAGTCCAGATTATAGACTGTTCTAAAGTTCAGATTAAAGACTGTTCTATAGTTCAGACTATGGACTGTTCGATAGTCCAGATTATAAACTGGTCTATAGTCCAGACTATAGATAGTCTTTAGATTATTCTATATTCTATAGACTTTTAGAAAAGACTATATAGAAAAGTTGTCTGTTTACACCGCACATTTTTCTTTAGAAGAGTTAAGTTTTATTATCCAAAACAATTTTTAAATTGAATGCAACAAAAGCAGACTTCAATCTATTACTAAGGCGGTTTACAGCCTTTTCCAAAGAAAGGGGGGGACAAGAAAATTCAATTTATTTTAGCAAAGAAAACGTCTGAAGTATCTATCTATCTATCTATCTATCTATCTATCTATCTATCTATCTATCTATCTATCTATCTATCTATCTATCTATCTATCTATCTATCTATCTATCTATCTATCTATCTATCTATCTATCTATCTATCTATCTATCTATCTATATATCTACCTATCTATCTCTTTATCTATCTCTTTATCTATCTCTTTATCTATCTATCTATCTATCTATCTATCTATCTATCTATCTATCTATCTATCTATCTATCTATCTATCTATCTATCTATCTATCTATCTATCTATCTATCTATCTATCTATCTATCTATCTATCTATCTATCTATCTATCTATCTATCTATCTAACTATCTATCTATCTATCTATCTATCTATCTATCTATCTATCTATCTATCTATCTATCTATCTATCTATCTATCTATCTATCTATCTATCTATCTATCTATCTATCTATCTATCTATCTATCTATCTATCTATCTATCTATCTATCTACCTATCTATCTGTTTATCTATTTATCTATCTATCTATCTATCTATCTATCTATCTATCTATCTATCTATCTATCTATCTATCTATCTATCTATCTATCTATCTATCTATCTATCTATCTATCTATCTATCTATCTATCTATCTATCTTTCTATCTTTCTATCTTCTATCTATCTATCTATCTATCTATCTATCTATCTATCTATCTATCTATCTATCTATCTATCTATCTATCTATCTATCTATCTATCTATCTATCGATCTATCTATCTAGACTATCTATCTGGACTATCTATCTAGACTATCTATCTAGACTATCTATCTAGACTATCTATCTAGACTATCTATCTAGACTATCTATCTAGACTATCTATCTAGACTATCTATCTAGACTATCTATCTAGACTATCTATCTAGACTATCTATCTAGACTATCTATCTATCTATCTATCTATCTATCTATCTATCTATCTATCTATCTATCTATCTATCTATCTATCTATCTATCTATCTATCTATCTATCTATCTATCTATCTATCTATCTATCTATCTATCTATCTATCTATCTATCTATCTATCTATCTATCTATCTATCTATCTATCTATCTATCTATCTATCTATCTATCTATCTATCTATCTATCTATCTATCTATCTATCTATCTATCTATCTATCTATCTATCTATCTATCTATCTATCTATCTATCTATCTATCTATCTATCTATCTATCTATCTATCTATCTATCTAGACTATTGGCATGACTGTAGTGCATTTTAGACTTGACTATATTCTAACTAGGCTATAGATTTGAATATATTCTTGACTATTGACTTGACTATGGACCAGAATATACATTTGACTATAATTCAAACTAGGGACTTGACTATTGTCCAGACTATAGTCTTGACTATATTTCAGACTTCAGATTTGATTATAACTACCAATAGACTTGGCTATAGTGGATATCATAGATATCATTACTGGATTCTATTATAGTCGTTACTATAGACTCCAACAATAGTCCATATTATATACTTATTAGATTTAAATATAGCCAGAGAGCATAAAAATAAGCAGTTTATTCTATTCTATTGGAAGTATTTATTTTCACTAGATTATTCAAAAATTTCTCCTAATAATAGTAACAAACTGTGTGATCAAAAAAACCTGTAACCAAACAGACCAGTTTTGCTATTGTTCAAGAAAAATCAAATTTAGGCATAAAATTTTAATAATAACAAAACAAAATCGAAACATTTTTAACAATAATAACACAATGACCAAACAAAATTTCTATTTTGTTGCGAAAAAAAAATTTTATTGAAATCTAAATAAAATAAAGCCTTAATAGGTAAATCACACCTTTTGTAAAAAGACAATAAGATAAAACTACTTACAACAAATTATTTATAAAAAGAAATAATTTGAAAACCAGAGAGACAACAAGATCACAGCAAAATGATAATTTTTTTGTTTTGTGAATGGTTCGGAAAAAAAACTTGAAAAAAAAGAAGAGCTCTCCTCCATTAAACAAATAATGGTTTAAACTGGCAGGTTGGTTGTCGTTTGCTGGTTTGGTTGGCAGTTAAGCTTGACTTGGTATGATTTGATATGAACGTTGGTATTATTTAGTTTTTGGTCATAACTGTTTGTTTCTCTAACTGAAATACAAATAATATTAGAGTAGTTAGAGAGCATTTGAGATAAAGTTTAAAGTGAGAAATCAAATCGCATCATACTCATGGTAGTTAGTACTACTATATCATAAAACTCAAAACGTACGATACAACTTTTTTTTAATGTATAAGTTAAAACCCCAACCATTTTACAACTTTAGTTTAAAAAATTAATTCGTTGTTAGAGCACTACAATCTTACGGAACAAAGATTGAGAAAAAAAGTGTCAATTGACTGATGGTTGTTTAGAGAAAAAGGATTTGAATTGAATTTAATAAATGTTATAAATTTAAATTTTAAATATTTATTGAAAAAAATAAAGAGAATGGTTTAATAAAAAGTTAAGGTGCTTGCTATTACTTTTCTTTAACTGGAATAATTTAAATAATATTTTTTTTCGTGTAACTACTTGAGAAAAAAAGTGAAATAAAAAAAAATAACAAATAACGCAAAAAAAAAAGAAAAAGTTGAAAATTGTTTTTCTGTTTTAAGTGGAAATTCATTGAAATGTAAAGCATTTAAAAACGCGCTTTTCTTTAAACTGCAAGTTGGCGTGTTTGCCACCAAAGAAAGAGAGAAAGAAAAAAAATAGAAAACTGGCAAAATTAACTAAAAATAATTGTTAAAAAGTCTAAAAAGTAAAGTGTTTTTTATACTTAAAAAAAAAAACTTAGTTCATTAAAGACAAATTAAAAAGTAATAAATAAAATCTTTGAAATAAAACCGCTCCTAAATTTTGTAACGGAAACAAATCAATAAAGGTATGAGATGAATAATCTGCTTTTGGTTTATAACTATTTCAAAAAGTAACAGAAAAAAAACAAAAGATTTTATTGTTTTAAGATGAAATCAAAAATTTTAACATCAAACAAAAATAAATTTTGAAGAAAAGAAAATAACATCGTATTACAAAGTATCCTATTACACACATAAAAATTTTGCAAGTTCCAAAAGGTCATAAAGGATTAAGTATTAGGATTTTTAGCAATATCTTTAACATTTTTCAAAAAATACTATTCTATAGTCCAAACTATAGACTGTTCTATAGTTCAGACTATAGACTGTTCTATAGTCTAGACTATAGACTATTCTATAGCCCAGACTATAGACTATTCTATAGCCATACTATTCATTATTCTATAGACCAGACTATAGACTATTCTGTAGTCCAGACAATAGACTATTCTATAATCCAGACTATAAACAGTTCTATAGTACAGACTATAGACTGTTCGAGAGTCCAGACTATAGACAGTTCTATAGTCCAGACTAGTGACTGTTCTATATTTCAGACTATAGACAGTTCTATAGTCCAGACTATAGGCAGTTCTATAGTCCAGACAATAGACAGTTCTATAGTCCAGACTATAGACAGTTCTATAGTCCAGACTATAGAAAGTTCTATAGTCCAGACTATAGACAGTTCTATAGTCCAGACTATAGACAGTTCTATAGACAGTTCTATAGTCCAGACTATAGACAGTTCTGTAGTCCAGACTATAGATTGTTCTATAGTCCAGAATATAGACAATTCTATAGTCCAAACTATAGACTATTCTATAGTCCAGACTATAGACTATTCTATAGTCCAGACTATAGACTATTCTATAGTCCAGACTATAAACTATTGTATAGTCCAGACATTAGACTATTGTATAGTCCAGACTTTAGACTATTGTATAGTCCAGACTATAGACTATTCTATATTCGAGACTATAGACTCTTCTATAGTTGAGACTATAGACTATTGTACAGTCCAGACTATAGACTATTCTATAGTCGAGACTATGGACTGTTCTACAGTTGAGACTACAGACTATTGTATAATCCATACTATAGACTATTGTATAGTCCAGACTATAGACTCTTTTATAGTCCAGTCTATAGACTCTTTTATAGTCCAGACTATAGGCTCTTTTATAGTCCAGACTATAGACTATTCTATAAACCAGACTATAGACTATTCTATAAACCAGACTATAGACTATTCTATAGGCCAGACTATAGACTATTCTATAGGCCAGACTATAGACTATTTTATAATCCAGACTATTGACTATTCTATAGTCCAGACGATAGACTATTCTATAGTTCAGACTATAGACTATTCTATAGTCGAGACTGTAGACTATTCTGTAAACCAGACTATAGACTATTCTATAGTCCAGACTATAGACTATTCTATAGTCGAGACTATAGACTATTCTATAATCCAAACTATAAAATAGTCCAAACTATAGACTATTCTATAGTCTACAAACCGTTTTATAGTCTAAACTTTAGGCTATTTTTATACTCAAGTCTGAGGACTAGTCTATGTATTTGAGAGATTCGCAATGGGTTAAAATAGTGCTAAATTAAAATTTTTGTAAAACTTGTTTAAAAATGTATTACATCATTTAGTATTTTGAATACTGACCACAAACTAGTTGTTAATTTGTTAAGCAGGATATTTTCCCAATGGGTCTGACAAGATTTTTTTAACAAGTTTGTATTAAGTAGTAAACATGACTGTAGTTGCTTGAAAACTAATACTAAGAGGCTTTGGGTGATATGTAACAAATATTAAGATTATGTTAAAAATTTATTAAAAATATTCAATAGATAAATATTTATAAATCTAAAACGTGTTTTTATAATAAAACTTAACTTTTGTTTCTTATTAAAGAAATTACATAATAAGCATATTTTTAAAAGAAAGAAGATAGCTTTGTATCTAGAAATAATTAGAATTAGCAAATTAATAAGTTTTGGGTGTTTTAGGTTTTAGAAAGTAAATTTTAAAATTTTTATAAAATTATTAAAAAAATTCCGCATCTTGGTGTAGGCCTATGACTGAATATTTCTTTTAAAAGCCAAAGACAATCTACAGCTTTATACCTCTACACACACAAACTTATGCAAATTGTTTTCATTTGTTTGTTTATTAAATTTATTTTGTTTTTTGCATTCAATGGGATTTTATCTTTTGAATAAATATAATTTTTTTTGAATAAAAAAAAAAAAAAAATAACGATCCACCAAGCATGCGTGTGTGTAAATACATTAGAGATTGATATTAAATGTTTGTATTTATTTTGTTGGGAATATTTTAGACAAATAATTTTTTTTTATAGAAAAATATTTGCCCTAAACAAAGTTTATCATTTTGTTGGTTTTGTTTTTTTTTTCTTGAGTGTCTGTTTGTTTTTGATTATAATTTTTAAGGAGTAAAAAATATTTATAAGGACTTTTTGTGAAAATTTATGAGAAAAATATAAAAATCCCTGACAATATTTGGAATAAATTATTTGTTTGAATATAGAATAGAAAACAAATATATATTTTATTTTCAAATATTTAAGAGCGACTACGATGAGATCTAATTAAATGCAATGTCTAGACAAAATATCCTTTAAGGATTTAATATTAATAACAAGTAACTAGTCCAGTCTATGGAGCAGTATATTTATTTCTATTCTATTCCCTAGTCTAACCTATAGACTAGTGTAATGTGAGGACTAATTACTAGTTCATTGACTAGTGTAATGACTAGCCTAATGCCTAGGCTAATGACTAGTATATTAGCTAATCTTTAGTCTAGTCTAATCACTAGTATATTAATTAGTCTAGAACTAGTCTATTGGCTAGTATATTAACTAGTCTATGGTCTTTGAACTAGTCTATTAACTTATGCTTGACTCACCCTGATTACGGATCCTATTTTAAAAAAAAAAACTTGCATTAAATGAAACTGCTTAATAGTGGTTTATTGTCCTTGGCAAAAAATAACAATAAATAAAATAACAACAAATAATAAATACATATTATAGTATTTAAAAAAACAACAGCTGTAAATACTATAATATTTATTTCACTTTTGGTCAAGGTAATTAATTAATTAATTACATACAACTTTTTATATTTTGCAAAAAAAATATTTGCAAATTAAATAGCAAAAGTTTGTGGGGTATTACAGTTTTATTAACCAACATTAGTCCTTGTTTAAGACCTACAAAATCCTGAAAGATAAAATTAAATAAATGCTTTTGGATTTAGTTTGGTAATAAAAAGGGGAATGGGTGTAATAATCATGTATGTATATGTGTCTGTGGTCATAACATTAAATGTTATTAGGTTTTTTTTTTCTAGTATACATATACTATGTAGTAAATTTAGAATATTTTATTTATAAATACGTAGTATATTGTAAATGTTTACTTATCGAAAATACCAGAGACATTTTGACAGACTAGTCATGGCAGTCAGTCAGTTAGTATTCTGTGAAAATTGCCCGCATCTAATTTAGAAGAAACATTAACTATTATTAAAATAAGCACACACACACACACATACACAGCAAAGAAATGTTATAATTTTAAGCAGAGATTCTTAAAGTTTTAGAAAATGCACCCATATTTTAGTCGAGATGACTATAGCCTAGAATATTGACTAGACTATAAAATAGACTAGACTATAGACTAGACTATAGACTAGACTATAGACTAGACTATAGACTAGACTATAGACTAGACTATAGACTAGACTATAGACTAGACTATAGACTAGACTATAGACTAGACTATACTAGACTATAGACTGGACTATAGACTAGACTATAGACTAGACTATAGACTAGACTATAGACTAGACTATAGACTAGACTATAGACTAGACTATAGACTAAACTAGACTATAGACTAAACTAGACTATAGACTAGACTAGACTATAGACTAGACTATAGACTATAGACTAGGCTATAGACTAGACTATAGACTATACTATAGACTAGACTATAGACTAGACTATAGACTAGACTATAGACTAGACTATAGACTAGACTATAGACTAGACTATAGACTAGACTATAGACTAGACTATAGACTAGACTATAGACTAGACTATAGACTAGACTATAGACTAGACTATAGACTAGACTATAGACTAGACTATAGACTAGACTATAGACTAGACTATAGACTAGGCTATAGACTAGACTATAGACTAGACTAGACTATAGACTAGACTATAGACTAGACTAGACTATAGACTAGACTATAGACTAGACTATAGACTAGACTAGACTATAGACTATGCTATAGACTAGACTATAGACTATACTATAGACTAGACTATAGACTAGACTATAGACTAGACTATAGACTAGACTATAGACTAGACTATAGACTAGACTATAGACTAGACTATAGACTAGACTATAGACTAGACTATAGACTAGACTATAGACTAGACTATAGACTACACTATAGACTACACTATAGACTAGACTATAGACTAGACTATAGACTAGACTATAGACTAGACTATAGACTACACTATAGACTAGACTATAGACTAGACTATAGACTACACTATAGACTAGACTATAGACTAGACTATAGACTACACTATAGTCTAGTCTATCTAGTCTATAGTCTAGACTATAGTCTAGACTATAGACTAGACTATAGACTAGACTATAGACTAGACTATAGACTAGACTATAGACTAGACTATAGACTAGACTATAGACTAGACTATAGACTAGACTATATACTAGACTATAGACTAGACTATAGACTAGACTATAGACTAGACTATAGACTAGACTATAGACTAGACTATAGACTAGACTATAGACTAGACTATAGACTAGACTATAGACTAGACTATAGACTAGACTATAGACTAGACTATAGACTAGACTATAGACTAGACTATAGACTAGACTATAGACTAGACTATAGACTAGACTATAGACTAGACTATAGACTAGACTATAGACTAGACTATAGACTAGACTATAGACTAGACTATAGACTAGACTATAGACTAGACTATAGACTAGACTATAGACTAGACTATAGACTAGACTATAGACTAGACTATAGACTAGACTATAGACTAGACTATAGACTAGACTATAGACTAGACTATAGACTAGACTATAGACTAGACTATAGACTAGACTATAGACTAGACTATAGACTAGACTATACTAGACTATAGACTAGACTATAGACTAGACTATAGACTAGACTATAGACTAGACTATAGACTAGACTATAGACTAGACTATAGACTAGACTATAGACTAGACTATAGACTAGACTATAGACTAGACTATAGACTAGACTATAGACTAGACTATAGACTAGACTAGACTAGACTAGACTATAGACTAGACTATAGACTAGACTAGACTAGACTAGACTATAGACTAGTCTATAGACTATGGACTAGACTGTAGACTAGACTATAGACTAGACTATAGACTGGACTATAAACAAGACTATAAATTAAACTTAACTATGGACTAGACAACATTAGACTATAGACTAGATATTAGACTAAACTATAGAATAGACTACAGACCAGACTATAGACTAGGCTGTAGACTTAACTATAGACTAGAAGATAGACTAGACTATAGACTAGACTACAGACTAGGCTATAGACTAGTCTACAGACTAGGTTATAGACTAGACTGCAGACTATACTATAGACTAGACTACATAATTAACTATAAATTAGACTGTAGACCAGACTATAGACTACACTGTAGACTAGACTAGATTATAGACTAGACATTACCCAATACTATAGACTATACTATATTCAATACTATAGACTTATATATAGAATAGACTATAGTAAAGAATAGATTAATCTATAAATTAGACTACAAGCTAATCTATTATTCTATTTATAGTTCCCTTTCCTCTAATTTGAAATCCTGAAATCAACCCATATTTGAGAATCCCCGCAATTGAATACCCTAATATAAATAAGTATTAGAATTAATACATTTTTGTTTTTGTGTTGGCAACTACAATAAAATGTTATCTTTAACATTTAACAGACATGAAGAGAAAATAATTTAAATAGAGTGAGTTGGAAAGCAAAAAAGAAAAAAAAAGAGCAAAAAAACATACAAGGTCAAGGACATGTCAAATTTTTGTTACCAGCAAAAAATATAACACAATTTTGTAAAAAAAGAGAAATTTTATCAGCACATACAAGCAATATAGACAAACGATTTTTGTATATGAAGATGTATAAAAATCAGAATTATATATTTTTATATTAAAAATAAGTTAGAAACTTTTGTTTATTAACCTTAAAGAATAGTAGGGATTAAGTTTAACATATTTTGTTATAGAGTTTATGATTTTGGCCATGCAAATGTCATGGGTGAAAAAAAAAATGTGAAACTAAAACGCAATAATAAGATAAAAAGAAAACTGAACTAAATAAAGACATAAAATAAGAAGACCCGAATATAAACTTGACTATATACTAGATATAGACTAGACTATAGACTATACTAAAGACTAGACTATAGACTAGACTATAGTCTAGACTATAGACTAGACTATAGACTAGACTATAGACTAGACACTAGACTATAGACTAGACTATAGACTAGACTATAGACTAGACTATAGACTAGACTATGACTATACTATAGACTAGACTATAGACTAGACTATAGACTAGACTATAGACTAGACTATAGACTAACTATGAGACTATAGACTATAGACTGACTAGACTAGACTATAGACTAACTATAGACTAGACTATAGACTAGACTATAGACTAGACTATAGACTAGACTAGACTAGACTATAGACTAGACTATAGACTAGACTATAGACTGACTATAGACTAGACTATAGACTAGACTATAGACTAGACTATAGACTAGACTATAGACTAGACTATAGACTAGACTATAGACTAGACTATAGACTAGACTAGACTAGACTATAGACTAGACTATAGACTAGACTATAGCTAGACTATAGACTAGACTATAGACTAGACTATAGACTAGACTATAGACTAGACTATAGACTAGACTATAGACTAGACTATAGACTAGACTATAGACTAGACTATAGACTAGACTATAGACTAGACTATAGACTAGACTATAGACTAGACTAGACTAGACTATAGACTAGACTATAGACTAGATTATAGACTAGACTATAGACTAGACTATAAACTGGACTATAGACTAGACTATAGACTAGATTATAGACTAGACTATAGACTAGACATAGACTAGATTATAGATTAGACTATAGACTAGACTATAGACTAGACTCTCGACTAGACTATAGACAGACTCTCGACTAGACTATAGACTAGACTATAGACTAAACTATAGACTAGACTATAGACTCGACTATAGACTAAACTATAGACTAGACTATAGACTCGACTATAGACTAGACTATTGACTAGACTATAGACTAGACTATAGACTAGACTATAGACTATACTATAGACTAGACTATAGACTGTACTATAGACTAGACTATAGACTAGACTATAGACTGTACTATAGACTGTACTATAGACTAGACTATAGACTAGACTATAGACTAGACTATAGACTAGACTATAGACTAGACTATAGACTAGACCATAGACTAGACTAGACTATAGACTAGACTAGACTATAGACTAGACTATAAACTAGACTATAGACCAGGCTATAGACTAGACTATAGACTAGACTATAAACTAGACTATAAACTAGACTATTGACTAGACTCTAAACTAGACTATCGACTAGACTATTGACTAGTCTATTCACTGGACTCTATAGACTATAGAGTATACTGTAGACTAGACTACAGACGAGACTACAGACTAGACTATAGACTAGACTATAAACTAGACTACAGACTGCACAACTGCTTTGCATTATCACTTTCGCGATTCCACTAACCAAACGACTTACAATAAATTTTTCCCCAATTAAAATAATTTTAATATTATTCTCTTTTCTTTCATTTCAGCAAATTTGAAATTCCTATATCAATAACAAACATGTCAAATCTAAGTAAAACCACTGCCTCCCTGGTAAAGCGCACCTCTTTTTCGGCTGCTGTAACACCATCAATGATTTCACAGCATATCCCACCACAACCGGAATCACATGGAAATGAAGTCAATAATAAATCTCGCACTAAATTAAGTCAAAAGTAAGTGAAGTGAAAAATCATTGAAATAAATAAAATTATGGTACATTTAGGCCAATAAAAAGGTACATTAGGGTGGCGCCGTTTTTTCAATTTATTAGTTTAACAAAAATGTTTCTTCATTTAAAATTAGTATTTATAAAAGGTTTGATTCTCACATCGTGAACATTTTTAAGAAATTTTATCTAAATATTTAAAGTACTACCCTAATATGTAAGCTATGTATATTGTTTGTGTCAATTACACTTGTTTCCTTTTCTAATCATTTGATTTATCATCTACTATATCCCCTGTTAGCAATTCCAAATCGAATAATGCCGATAAAATACGTTCCTATAATGAAGTACCTGGTCCCTGGGGCATGCCCTTTATTGGCAATTCTTGGCGTTTTGCACCAGTTATTGGTAAGTGTTACTATTTCTTCTATTTTAAATATACATATGTATGTATGGTACCTACTACTCCTGTTATGGGGGCAATAGCTGAAAAATTATAATAAAACAAATTTTGTGTGGCATGTGGCAATAAATATGTCACAATTTTATTTGTTTGATAGATAGGCAAAGGTAAAGGTAACATTTTTTATGTAACAAAGGGAAAAAATGTTTTTAGGTTTTCCTTACAAAGAGGTTAGAAAAAAATTGGAATTTATGTCATATAAATAATATATTTAGTAATTTTGTTAAATTGCGTAATATTTATGGTTCGTTGCATTTTATGAATTACAATGTGGGAGGTAGTTTTTGAATTCATAATTCATGTTTATAAAACATACTAGAACTGTAATAATGAACAGTGGCATAGTTTACATATGGAATGGGATTTGCAAAGACAAGTTGTAAAATAACTAGACTATAGGCTACACTACAGACCTAGACTATAAACTAGACTATAGAATACAGACAAGACTTTAGACTATACCAGACTAAACTATAGACTAGGCTAAAGATTAGACTATAAATTAAACTTAGACTATAATATAGACTATAGATTAGACTATAAATTAAACTTAGACTATAATCTAGACTATAGACTAGCCTAGATTATAGACTAGACTATAAACTAGATTATAGATTATACTATAGACTAGACTCTCGGCTAGACTATAGACTAGACTATAGACTAAACTATAGACTAGACTATAGACTAAACTATAGATTAGACTATAGACTCGACTATAGACTATAGACTAGACTATAGACTAGACTATAGACTAGACTATAGACTAGACTATAGACTAGACTATAGACTAGACTATAGACTAGACTATAGACTAGACTATAGACTAGACTATAGACTAGACTATAGACTAGACTATAGACTAGACTATAGACTAGACTATAGACCTAGACTATAGACTAGACTATAGACTAGACTATAGACTAGACTATAGACTAGACTATAGACTAGACTATAGACTAGACTATAGACTAGACTATAGACTAGACTATAGACTAGACTATAGACTAGACTATAGACTAGACTATAGACTAGACTATAGACTAGACTATAGACTAGACTATAGACTAGACTATAGACTAGACTATAGACTAGACTATAGACTAGACTATAGACTAGACTATAAACTAGACTATAGACTAGACTATAGACTAGACTATAGACTAGACTATAGACTAACTAGACTAGACTATAGACTAGACTATAGACTAGACTATAGACTAGACTATAGACTAGACTATAGACTAGACTATAGACTAGACTATAGACAGACTAGACTAGACTATAGACTAGACTATAGACTAGACTATAGACTAGACTATAGACTAGACTATAAACTAGACTAGAGACTATAGACTAGACTATAGACTAGACTATAGACTAGACTATAGACTAGACTATAGACTAGACTATAGACTAGACTATAGACTAGACTATAGACTAGACTATAGACTAGACTATAGACTAGACTATAGACTAGACTATAGACTAGACTATAGACTAGACTATAGACTAGACTATAGACTAGACTATAGACTAGACTATAGACTAGACTATAGACTAGACTATAGACTAGACTATAGACTAGACTATAGACTAGACTATAGACTAGACTATAGACTAGACTATAGACTAGACTATAGACTAGACTATAGACTAGACTAGACTATAGACTAGACTATAGACTAGACTAGACTATAGACTAGACTATAGACTAGACTATAGACTAGACTATAGACTAGACTATAGACTAGACTATAGACTAGACTATAGACTAGACTATAGACTAGACTATAGACTAGACTATAGACTAGACTATAGACTAGACTATAGACTAGACTATAGACTAGACTATAGACTAGACTATAGACTAGACTATAGACTAGACTATAGACTAGACTATAGACTAGACTATAGACTAGACTATAGACTAGACTATAGACTAGACTATAGACTAGACTATAGACTAGACTATAGACTATAGACTAGACTATAGACTAGACTATAGACTAGACTATAGACTAGACTATAGACTAGACTATAGACTAGACTATAGACTAGACTATAGACTAGACTATAGACTAGACTATAGACTAGACTATAGACTAGACTATAGACTAGACAAAAATTCGATTGTACGAAAATCAATTCAAAGTAAACTTCTTTTCCCGAACAATTTAGAATTGTTTGATTATAGACTAGACTATAGACTAGACTATAGACTAGACTATAGACTAGACTATAGACTAGACTATAGACTAGACTATAGACTAGACTATAGACTAGACTATAGACTAGACTATAGACTAGACTATAGACTAGACTAGACTAGACTATAGACTAGACTATAGACTAGACTATAGACTAGACATAGACTAGACTATAGACTAGACTATAGACTAGACTATAGACTAGACTATAGACTAGACTAGACTAGACTATAGACTAGACTATAGACTAGACTATAGACTAGACTATAGACTAGACTATAGACTAGACTATAGACTAGACTATAGACTAGACTATAGACTAGACTATAGACTAGACTATAGACTAGACTAGACTAGACTAGACTAGACTAGACTATAGACTAGACTATAGACTAGACTATAGACTAGACTATAGACTAGACTATAGACTAGACTATAGACTAGACTAAGACTAGACTATAGACTAGACTATAGACTAGACTATAGACTAGACTATAGACTAGACTATAGACTAGACTATAGACTAGACTATAGACTAGACTATAGACTAGACTATAGACTAGACTATAGACTAGACTATAGACTAGACTATAGACTAGACTATAGACTAGACTATAGACTAGACTATAGACTATAGACTAGACTATAGACTAGACTATAGACTAGACTATAGACTAGACTATAGACTAGACTATAGACTAGACTATAGACTAGACTATAGACTAGACATAGACTAGACTATAGACTAGAATGACTATAGACTAGACTATGACTAGACTATAGACTAACATAGACTAGACTATAGACTAGACTATAGACTAGACTATAGACTAGACTATAGACTAGACTATAGACTAGACTATAGACTAGACTATAGACTAGACTATAGACTAGACTATAGACTAGACTATAGGACTAGACTATAGACTAGACTATGACTAGACTATAGACTAGACTATAGACTAGACTATAGACTAGACTATAGACTAGACTATAGACTGACTATAGACTAGACTATAGACTAGACTATAGACTAGATCTAGACTAGACTATAGACTAGACTATAGACTAGACTATAGACTAGACTATAGACTAGACTATAGACTAGACTATAGACTAGACTATAGACTAGACTAAGACTAGACTATAGACTAGACTATAGACTAGACTATAGACTAGACTATAAAGACTAGACTATGACTAGACTAGACTATAGACTAGATTATAGACTAGACTATAGACTAGACTATAGACTAGACTATAGACTAGACTATAGACTAGACTATAGACTAGACTATAGACTAGACTATAGACTAGACTATAGACTAGACTATAGACTAGACTATAGACTAGACTATAGACTAGACTATAGACTAGACTATAGACTAGACTATAGACTAGACTATAGACTAGACTATAGACTAGACTATAGACTAGACTATAGACTATAGACTAGACTATAGACTAGACTAGACTATAGACTAGACTATAGACTAGACTATAGACTAGACTATAGACTAGACTATAGACTAGACTATAGACTAGACTATAGACTAGACTACAGACTAGACTATAGACTAGACTATAGACTAGACTATAGACTACTATAGACTAGACTATAGACTAGACTATAGACTAGACTATAGACTAGACTATAGACTAGACTATAGACTAGACTATAGACTAGACTATAGACTAGACTATAGACTAGACTATAGACTAGACTATAGACTAGACTATAGACTAGACTATAGACTAGACTATAGACTAGACTATAGACTAGACTATAGACTAGACTATAGACTAGACTATAGACTAGACTATAGACTAGACTATAGACTAGACTATAGACTAGACTATAGACTAGACTATAGACTAGACTATAGACTAGACTATAGACTACTATAGACTAGACTATAGACTAGACTATAGACTAGACTATAGACTATAGACTAGACTATAGACCAGACTATAGACCAGACTATAGACTAGACTATAGACTAGACTATAGACTAGACTATAGACTAGACTATAGACTAGACTATAGACTAGACTATAGACTAGACTATAGACTAGACTATAGACTAGACTATAGACTAGACTATAGACTAGACTATAGACTAGACTATAGACTAGACTATAGACTAGACTATAGACTAGACTATAGACTAGACTATAGACTAGACTATAGACTAGACTATAGACTAGACTATAGACTAGACTATAGACTAGACTATAGACTAGACTATAGACTAGACTATAGACTAGACTATAGACTAGACTATAGACTAGACTATAGACTAGACTATAGACTAGACTATAGACTAGACTATAGACTAGACTATAGACTAGACTATAGACTAGACTATAGACTAGACTATAGACTAGACTATAGACTAGACTATAGACTAGACTATAGACTAGACTATAGACTAGACTATAGACTAGACTATAGACTAGACTATAGACTAGACTATAGACTAGACTATAGACTAGACTATAGACTAGACAAAAATTCGATTGTACGAAAATCAATTCAAAGTAAACTTCTTTTCCCGAACAATTTAGAATTTTTTGATTTTTTTTCGCAAAAAGTTGATTCTTCGAAAGTCGGTATATAGTCCACTGCATAATTTATTGACCTATTTTTTTTTACCTTCACAGGTCATTACAAAATCAGTGAACTTGATAAAGTTATGAAAGAATTACACATAAATTATGGTAAAATTGCCAAAGTTGGCGGTTTAATTGGTCATCCCGATTTGCTGTTCATATTCGATGGCGATGAAATACGTAATATATTCAAAAAGGAAGAAACTATGCCGCACAGGTAAATTATAATTAATTAATAAAACTATGTTTATTTATAAATTACTAACAAATCCATAACTAATATTTGATCCATGATTATTTCAAATTAGTTTAGAATTAATGCAAATAGAACACAATTGTCACTTTAGTATCCCTAAGTAACCAAGTAGCTAGATAATCGTCATCTACTTTGAACTAGCTACCAGACTGTGTCTATGTAATCTAAGTAAGGGTCGTTCGAGGTTTTACTTTGTTAAGTTTTAAAAAACTAGTCTAGTTATGCGACTATTTTAACATGTTCTAGGAGAAAGTCTGGTTCGAAATAAAATGTCTAGTTGGTGATTACTACCAGACTATCTTTAGGTAATCCATGTAGGATTAGTTGCCTTCGTTTTGGGACATGTTAGGATAACTAATTTCATAACTAATTCTGTAAATTACAAAAATATGTAAACGATAATTAAAATTTTTGTTTGGGTTCAGTCTCTCAAACTGTTCTAACTATTTGCAAAAGATACTCCATGTAATATGTGTGTAATGTTTACTTGTAAACTACCTGTATGTAAAAAATGTGTAAATTTTTCATAATACATAGGATGTAAGTAAATGTATTATAATTATAAACATATTTATTAATACACCTACATTGTTTAATATTAAATTTATGCATGTTTTACCCAGCGCCATATTTGCATATTAGGATGGTGTATAATTCCACTAGAAATTTCTGCAAAATTTGCTGCAAACTATAATCCTACGAACTAATATATAAGAAAGAACATGTTCCATTTTCACTTTTTCAGCAATAGACTTTTAATATGTTATAATATAAGAGCCATCCTAATATTTTTATTTTTATATATATTTTTTGTGTTCTAAGTATGTACAAGGATTATATTGTAATAATTAACAGATTTTTATAAAACAAACAGTCCATACATTGATGGGTCCTCTGAATTATTACAGCAGATTTTTATTCATAAAACAAACATACACCATTTACAAATTATTTCTAACAAAAATTTTACTAAAAATTAAAAACTAAATACCAAAAATAACTTGTCCACTACCCAAGAGCTACAAATCAGGTATGATTTCTAATTTATAAACTTTTGATAAATAGTCCACATAGTAGTCACTAGTTCATAGTCTAATCTGTAGTCTAGTCTAGTCTGGTCAATAGTGTAGACTATAGTCTATAGTCTGGTCTATAGTCTAGTCTATAGTCTAGTTTAAAGTCCTAGTTTATAGTCTAGTCTATAAACTAGTCTATAATCTAGTATATAGTCTAGTCTATAGACTGGTCTATAGTCTAGACCACTAGTCCATAGTCTATAGTCTAGTTTAAAGTCTAGTTTATAGTCTAGTCTATAAACTAGTCTATAATCTAGTATATAGTCTAGTCTATAGTCTGGTCTATAGTCTAGACCACTAGTCCATACTCTAATCTGTAGTCTAGTCTAGACTATTGTGTATGCTTTAGTCCAGTCTATAGTCTAGTCTATAGTCTGGTTTATAGTCTAGTCTATAGTCTAGTTTATAGTCTAGTTTATTGTCTAGTTTATAGTCTGGTTTATAGTCTAGTCTATAGTCTAGTTTATAGTCTAGTTTATAGTCTATAGTCTAGTCTATAGTCTAGACTATAGTCTAATCTATAGTCTATCTATAGTCTATCTATAGTCTAATCTATAGTCTAGTCTATAGTCTAGTCTATAGTCTAGTCTATAGTCTAGTCTATAGTCTAGTCTATAGTCTAGTCTATAGTCTAGTCTATAGTCTAGTCTATAGTCTAGTCTATAGTCTAATCTATATTCTACTCTATAAACTAGTCTATAGTGTAGTCTATAGTCTAGTCTATAGTCTAGTGTATAGTCTAGTCTATAGTCTAGTGTATAGTCTAGTCTATAGTCTAGTCTAGTCTATAGTCTAGTCTATAGTCTAATCTATAGTCTAGTCTATAGTCTAATCTATAGTCTACTCTATAAACTAGTCTATAGTGTAGTCTTTAGTCTAGTCTATAGTCTAGTATATAGTCTAGTCTATAGTCTAGTCTATAGTCTAGTCTATAGTCTAGTCTATAGTCTAGTCTATAGTCTAGTCTATAGTCTAGTCTATAGTCTAGTCTATAGTCTAGTCTATAGTCTAGTCTATAGTCTAGTCTATAGTCTAGTCTATAGTCTAGTCTATAGTCTAGTCTATAGTCTAGTCTATAGTCTAGTCTATAGTCTAGTCTATAGTCTAGTCTATAGTCTAGTCTATAGTCTAGTCTATAGTCTAGTCTATAGTCTAGTCTATAGTCTAGTCTATAGTCTAGTCTATAGTCTAGTCTATAGTCTAGTCTATAGTCTAGTCTATAGTCTAGTCTATAGTCTAGTCTATAGTCTAGTCTATAGTCTAGTCTATAGTCTAGTCTATAGTCTAGTCTATAGTCTAGTCTATAGTCTAGTCTATAGTCTAGTCTATAGTCTAGTCTATAGTCTAGTCTATAGTCTAGTCTATAGTCTAGTCTATAGTCTAGTCTATAGTCTAGTCTATAGTCTAGTCTATAGTCTAGTCTATAGTCTAGTCTATAGTCTAGTCTATAGTCTAGTCATAGTCTAGTCTATATTCTAGTCTATAGTCTAGTCTATAGTCTAGTCTATAGTCTAGTCTATAGTCTAGTCTATAGTCTAGTCTATAGTCAGTCTATAGTCTAGTCTATAGTCTAGTCTATAGTCTAGTCTATAGTCTAGTCTATAGTCTAGTCTATAGTCTAGTCTATATTCTAGTCTATAGTCTAGTCTATAGACTATAGTCTAGTCTATAGTCTAGTATAAAGTCTAGTCTATAGTCTAGTCTATAGTCTAGTCTATAGTCTAGTCTATAGTCTAGTCTATAGTCTAGTCTATAGTCTAGTCTATAATCTAGTCTATAGTCTAGTCTATAGTCTAGTCTATAGTCTAGTCTATAGTCTAGTCTATAGTCTAGTCTATAATCTAGTCTATAGTCTAGTCTATAGTCTAGTCTATAGTCTAGTCTATAGTCTAGTCTATAGTCTAGTCTATAGTCTAGTCTATAGTCTAGTCTATAGTCTAGTCTATAGTCTAGTCTATAGTCTAGTCTATAGTCTAGTCTATAGTCTAGTCTATAGTCTAGTCTATAGTCTAGTCTATAGTCTAGTCTATAGTCTAGTCTATAGTATAGTCTATAGTCTAGTCTATAGTCTAGTCTATAGTCTAGTCTATAGTCTAGTCTATAGTCTAGTCTATAGTCTAGTCTATAGTCTAGTCTATAGTCTAGTCTATAGTCTAGTCTATAGTCTAGTCTATAGTCTAGTCTATAGTCTAGTCTATAGTCTAGTCTATAGTCCAGTCTATAGTCTAGTCTATAGTCTAGTCTATAGTCTAGTCTATAGTCTAGTCTAGTCTATAGTCTAGTCTATAGTCTAGTCTATAGTCTAGTCTATAGTCTAGTCTATAGTCTAGTCTATTAGTCTAGTCTATAGTCTAGTCTATAGTCTAGTCTATAGTCTAGTCTATAGTCTAGTCTATAGTCTAGTCTATAGTCTAGTCTATAGTCTAGTCTATAGGCTAGTCTATAGTCTAGTCTATAGTCTAGTCTATAGTAAATTTTTTCAATAATTTTTTTGGAATTTACAAATATTCAGGGAAATGGTGCAATTCTACAATTAGTTTGACTTAAATTCTTTCAGAAAAAAACTAAAATTTTCTAAAATATATAAAAAATATTGTAAACATTAAAATAACATAGTAATTATAAGGTTGTGAATTAGCAAAGCGTAAGAGAGAAACAAATTTTTAAAATAAAAATTTTATTTTTTTTTAAGAACAATGAAAACGGATATAAATTCAAGTTAACCCTGGTTATGCAATTTTTTCTGCATTTAGGTTTTGCAAACTAATTTAATGGTTCAAAGAAGAAAGAATTAACATGTTAAAAAAAGTATAAAAAAGTTAAATTTTTAGTTTAATATTTAACCATAACTAACCAGCTGCTGGTTAGTTTCTGCTCCCACTCTTATATTTTTTTTTGTAACAAAATTTTGTTACAAACAATCACAATACTTTGTTATATTGTTGTTTTTTACGTTTCAGTTAACTTATAAAACAAATTTAGAAAAAAAGTAAAAAAAATTAGAAAAAAAAATATAAATGAAATAAACAAAGAAAAGTTTTTGAATGTTAGTTAAAGTTACAAAACAGAGAAAATGTTTTTGTATATTTTTCATAAAGTTAAAGGGAATTTTTTTATTGGAAACAGGACAACGGAAAATAAACAGAAAACTTCATATTTTTTTCAAATTCAAAACCATTCTATTATCAGTTGTCAGAAGAGAAAAACTTTTTCTAGAAAAATATTGCTTAAATATGACTGTCCCAAACAGAGAAACTTTTTCTATAGAATAAATGTCGAAAACAGAACAACATTTTCTAAAGGAATGTTAACTAAAACTGAGCAACACATTTCTCAAAAAAGTTGTCTAAAATAGAGAAACTTTTTCTATAGAAAACATGTCTAAAACAGAGATAAGTTTTCTAAAGGAAAGTTGTCTTCAAAAGAGTAACATTTTCTATAGAAAGGTTGTATTTAATAGCGCAACTTTTTCTATAGAAATATTTTTCTATAGAAGTAGAAGTAGAACAGAGCAGAGCAACTTTTTCTATAGAAAAGTTATCTTCAACAGAGCGACTTTTTCTATAGAAATGGTGTCTTCAACTGAGAAACTTTTTCTATAGAAAAGTTGTCTTCAACAGAGCAACTTTTTCTATTGAAAAGTTGTCTTCAACATAGCAACTTTTTCTATAGAAAAATTATCTCCAACAGAGCAACATTTTCTATAGAAAAATTGACTCCAACAGAGCAACATTTTCTATAGAAAAATTGACTCCAACAGAGTAACATTTTCTATAGAAAAGTTGACTCCAATAAAGCAACTTTTTCTATAAAAAAGTTGTCTAAAAAGTTTCTATAGAAAAGTTGACTCCAACAGAGCAACTTTTTCTATAGAAAAGATGACTT